CCTCCTCATCCTACTCCGTTGCCTCCAGTCCCAATCCTCATTATCCTCACCGCTCGCCGTCGTCGCCACTCATGACCACCATCGCGCGCTTCCGGCAGCAATGGAAGCGTCCCGGATCGGCGGCACTGGCCGGAGGCCACTACAATATGAAGGGTACCGATGTGAACTCTGCCACTAGGGCCCTCGGTAGAGCTCCCTATGGGGGCCGCTGGGCCCCTCGGTGGAACTCCCTATGAGTCCACCAAAATGTGAGGGGTCTGCCGGAATTGGGCGGGTACCGATGTGAACCCTGCCTCTGGGGCCCTCGGTGGGGCTCCTTATTGTGAGGCCAGGAGACGGTCAAAGGGTCTGCCGAAATATGGAGGATACCGATGTGAATCCTGCCTCTGTCGACCATTAGGGCCCTTGGTAGAGCTCCCTAGGGAGCCACTGGTGCCCTCGGTGGAACTCCCTATGGGGTCACCAAACGTGTGAGCGGTCGGCCAAAACGGGGAGAGTACCCATGTGAACCCTGCCTCTGGAGCCTTCGGTGGAGCTCCCTATGGGGCCACGAAACTGCCACTGAGGCCCCCGGGGGAGCTCCCAAGGGGTCTGTCGACATGTAGCAGGTACCCATGTGAACCATGCCACTAGGGCCCTCAGTAGAGCTTCCTATGGGGCCGCGAAAAATTGGAGGAGTCTACCGGAATGGGGCGGGTACCCATGTGAACCCTGCCCCTGGGGCCCTCGGTGGGGCCCCCTATTGGGCTGTGAGGGGTCTACGGACATGCGAAAACGAAAAAGAGAACAGGAGGATGAGGCCTCCTGCGCTGCTAGAGCCATCGCTGGGGCCTCCGGTGGAGCTCCTGGGGGGGTACGAACTGTGTGAGGGGTGGTGTGACGAAAATGTGATGATCATGATGAGGGTGGTACTTGGGATCAAAATGATGATGCTGACGAGGAGGAGGAAGTGGAGGAGGAGGAGGGAGGGAGGAGGAAGGAGGGAGGGAGACGCGCGGCGCGGCGAATTCAAAACGAGGACCCAAGTCCACAGAAGGGTTGGGAAGAATCCGCCGGCCTCCTGCGACCTCGTCATGCATCAAAGAGGCACCGGGGACGGGCTCGCCGGAGAACCCTGGGCCGGAGCCCTTTCCAAAAACCTGGGCCCGATCCCTACGGCAGCTGCCGCCCTCCAGGACCGACCGCGGCCGCGGCTGGGCGGGCGGCCTCTGCAGCAGCGGCTGGGCAGCGCCCGCGGCGGCGGCGACGACGGCGAGTGCTGCTCAGATCGGACCAGCGCTGCTGGCACGGCCGTCGACGCGCTGCGCCCTGCGAGCTCACAGCGTGCCGCTCCGCTTCGCGGGGAAGGGCGGCCGGGAGAGAGTCTCGGGAAGGGGGCGCTCGAAAACGGCGCTGCGGTCCGCGCGTCGCGCCGACGCGTGGTGGACCAGAGCTGGCGGAACGGCACGATGAGCCCAAGTTCCTGGCCGCATGTTCGTCCCCATCCTCTCCGCCTCCATGCGAGCGACGATCAAAAAACGGATCTCACGCGAGTGGACGCAGCGACCTCACGCGGTGGCTTGCGCAGGCCACCAGCGCGGCACGCCGCAGGTGGCGACGAGAGCGCTCACACGCGACCTTACACGGGCAGCTTACCCCGCCAATGTCGATGTAGACGACCCCGTTGTCTGGAGCGCGTTTCTTTATTTTCGCGGCGATGACGGGCGTCATGGGGGGGGGGGGGGGGGGGCGAGGGGGGTATGACGTGACGCCCTCCCCCCCCCCGACGTGCGCACGGCGGCAGTGTGCGGAGCGCACTGGGGGGGGGGAGCGCTACGTCATAGCGGGGGGAGGGGGGGGGAGGCGGGAGCCAGGACGCCCGTCGTGCCCCGAGCGAAAAAGAAACACGCTCTTGGCATCGCTCACGTCGATCCTCCCGAAGGCCCCCCCCTTGTCTCAAGAGCTCCGCCCTCTCTCCCGGTCCTGGGCTGCCTGCACGCCCCGCATCTCTCCCGCGCCCTGCGCGGACCCCGGAGGAGCGCGGGCCGCGGAGGCGCGGCGCGGAGGGCCCCCCCCCCCGCGCGGTCTCCGGGGGTCGCCGCCGAGCCGAAAGAGAAGGGGCTCTCTGCGGGCCGCCTCGCCGGAGGGGCCCCAGAAGATCGGCAGCGAGCGAGGGGGGGAGGCGGCAAGCCAGAAGGACCAGACCCCCTCAGAAGGCGGCGGGGAATCTCAGAAGCCCTCGCGCCTTCTAAGAGGTGTTCTATGTGTTTCGGGGAAGGCTCAGAAAACTTCTCAAAGGCGGGGGGACTTCTGAGCCTTCCGAGAAGGCCTTCTCCTTCTCTCCTCCCCCCCGAGCTCGCCGCCGAGAAGAGCAAGGAAGGGGGGGGGCGGATGAGCGAGGAAGGTTGGGGGGGCAGGAGAGCTCGGCGCACGTCGGCGCGCTCGGCAACCAGTGGCAGCCGTCGCTGCTGCCAGGATAGCGTACTGAAGTGTGAGAGTGATGGAAACTCGCCCTCGCGTGACGCACTCTGCCCTGAGCTTCAGGAGCGCCAAGGCCTTGACATGATGCAGACGGGCGCGTCGAGGAGGCCACAAGAGACAGACCCCACCTCTGAGGCCTTCGTGCGGGCTGCCTCTTTGGAGGGGCCCTACGTTGGGGCCGAGGAAGGAGGGAGGTCGACCAACCCCTTCATCCGCATCCCTCCTCATCACCATCACCACCATCATCGCCATCACAATCAGCATCACATCGTCGTCAGCATCATCGCCCTCGTTTTGGCAATCATCACCACCACTGCCATCACCATCAACATCACCAGCATCAACATCAGCTCGCAGTCCTTCTCTTTCTCGCCGTCAGCATCACCATCATCACCATCAACACCATCATCAGCACTATCAGCATTATCAAGTGAGGAAGGAGGGAGGTTTCTTGAATTCAGAAACCAGCCTCCTAGCACTAGCGCGCCCCAGGATGGCTCGCCAGATGATGAAAGTAGGCAAGTTAGCAAGCAGTGATGAGGCAGCAACGGATGGTGTGGGAAAACATCAACGCTACGCGCACGCGAACCGTAAGCATGTTGGCCCGTGAGTCGCCTGGAGCGGGGTGCGTCGTAACCACCGTACGTTCCGCCTTGATCCTGAATATGATCGAACAAGATCTAGAAATATGAAGCATGGGCATTGGGCAAGGTACCAAATTCGGGCGACGGACAACTGTAATGCCCAAGGTAGCGATGGTGATGTACAGTGCCAGGGGCTGTGCTGCTCTGCGCTGCGGTGAACTGAGACGCGCCATGCCGCATTGAACTGCTGTACTCTATTGTATCGTGGATCAGGTCGACCGTTGCGTCAGAATCACGATCGAACTGATCTGGACCTAGAGCTCGAGCCGCCTGAACGCATGACTCAGGTCTGACCGCATTCGAACATGTGAACCGTTCCGTGCTCTGTTACGTCGTGGACCAGATCTTCCCTGGCATCCGAATCCTGACAGAACTAAGCTGGGCCTCAAGCTCAAGCTGCATGGGCGCACTACTCGCGCAGAGCTGATTGCAATCGAGATCCTCTGAAAGGATTATGTTCCGCAACAGGGCGAAAAGATAAGGGCGACTCCACACTGAGGCGAAATGCATCGAGAAGGGGCGGGCCGAAACGCCAACGACAGCGACGGCGGACAGCGACGACCGCGACCGCGGTTCCAGCTCGGGGACACCATGTCACCTCTCTGGGTGGCCTGGACACGTGAAAACACATGGCTCCAGCTCGGGATCACCATGTTAGATGCCCCAGGGGGGAAATCTGGAAACTCACCCGCAAAAAACTGTCTCAGAATATTGCGCATCTGGCGTTGATTTAGGTCGGGCAGGCCCCCCTCTGGACGTACCATTGAAAATACACCCAACATACTCCGAAAATGCTATAAAAAATACTCAAAAAATCGTCCCCATATTATTGTTGGACTATGTGTGCATATCCTCCTGTCGAGGGACAGGCCCAACTTCATATTACACATCTGGCGTTGATTTATGAATAGTGCCTGGCTCTTGTGGCCACCGCGGCTGGGGGGGGGGCGCCCAGACGACCACATGTTACACACACACACACACCGTGGGTGGCCAACACGCGTAAAAACACGGGGATCCAGCTCGAGGCAGCCATGTTAGATACCCCTCTGGATCGCCTGGACACGTGAAGACGTGTGGTTCGAACTCGGGGCGACCGTGTAAGATACCCTTTTTATGCCTGACCTGGACATGTGAAAAGACGTTGGTTCCAGCTCGAAGCCACCATGTTAGGTACCTTTTTGGGGTGGCCTGGACAGATGAGAACACATGGTTCCAGCGAGGGGCAAGAGGCAACCATCTTAGATACCCCCCCCCCGTGGGTGGCCTGGGAACGTGAAAACACATGGCTTCAGCTCGGGACCACCATGTTCGACCCCCCCTAAGTGCCCTGGACACGTAAGAACACATGGTTCCAGATCGGGGCCACCATGGTAGGTACCCAACTGGGTGGCCTGGACGTGAAAACACATCGTTCCAGCTCGGGACCACCAGGTTTGGTATCCCCCTGGGCGGCCTGGACACGTGAAAACGCGTGGTTCCAGCTCGGATACACAATCTTTGATACCTCGCAGGGTGGCCTGGACACGTGAAAACACCTGGTTCCAGCTCGGGTCCACATTGTTAGATACCCCCGGGGGGGACCTGGAAAAAGCACCAGCCGAAGAAACCGTGTCAGGTTACTACACATTCGGCGTTGGTTTATTGACTTTGTCTGCTCTTCTGGGCCCCCGCACTGGGGGCGCCCAGGCGACCACAGGGCTTCAAATATGTTTTTCAATGTTCCCCGACACCCCCCACACAAACTGGGAATAGAGGGCAAATTGGGGCCTTCGGGTTGGGTTGGGGTGGTTTGGTGGCTGGTGCAAAAAGAACCCTGTGCCCACGCCCTTTCCGAGTGAGCAAGAGAAGCACGGGGAGCAGGGGGGGCAACGGCCGCGCGGGACGCGCATCGGCCTGCCGCACGCTCGCCGCCACCTCGTCCAGCCCGAAGCCTCCGCTCCGGGCGGCCCCCGCCCGCCCGGATATCACTGGAGGCCAGGCTTCTCGGGTCGCGACCGACGAAAGCGGATGCTGCTTCGAACTCCAGTATCGGTCGCGACCGATTCGGAATACCGATGGGTCGCCAACGATCGCGACCAAGAAAACATGCAGTGTCCAAAGATCCGGGCACCCGGGCCCAGCCAAAGGGCCGCTGACCAGGCCCAGCGCAGCGCGTGGGGACGACGGCGGCGACGGCGACGATGGCGGCCACGTCAGCGAGGGCGACGGCAACGGCGGCGGAGGCGGCGACGGCGACGGCGACGGCGGCGGCGGCGGCAGCAGACGGCGGCGGCGACGGCGACGCTGGCGGCGGCGGCGGCGCTGGCGGCGGCGGCGGCGGCGGCAAGCGCCGAGGCGGCGGCGGAAGCCCGCCGAGGCCTCGGGCGGCGCCTGGCCTCGGAAAGGTGCGCAGGTTTCGGCCGCAGTGCGCCGAGCACGGGGCCGATTCGGCCACGGCAGGTTCGTGTGGTTAGGGGGCCGCATGTGAACCCTACCCCTACCCCCCACGATTTCTGAGGGGGAGGGTGGGGTTCATTTCGCTCGGGAGCTCCCGAACGAAGTGAACCCCACCCTCCTCCTCAGAAATCGTGGGGGGTAGGGGTAGGGTTCACATGCGGCCCCCTAGTGGTGCCCTCGGGCCAAGTCGTGCCGACGTCGTCTTCGTCGTCGTCGTCGTCCGAGCCAGCTGGCCCGCCCGCGCGGGGGCCGGCCCGTGCCCCCCGCCGAGGGCCCCCCGGATGAGACTGGCGGCCGGCCGCGGGTGTCTGACCGAGCTGTGTGAACCCAAGGTGTTGGCCAACAAGCCGAACACACTGTGTTCGGCTCGTGCTCTCAGTGGGCCTGACCAGAACAGGCCGTCAATTCGGATCGGGCAGCGGACAGATCTGCCGGCAGCAGGGGGAGCGTGACGACTGGCCGTTCCTGCAGTCGTGCTGCGGTGGACAGGGCTGCGGGCAGTAGGGAGAGCGTAACGGCCGGCGGTTCCTGCAGTCGTGCTAGCGTCGGGCACGCGCCAACATGGAGTTGGAATCCGTGGCCGAAACATGAGGCCAATTCCTGCAGATTTGGCCACGGAGCATGCCGATTCTGAACGGGAACGGGGCACGTCGCTAATCCACGCGACTTCAGCCATGCTTTCGCTGAACATATATGGGCGCCTTGATCCACCCGTCGAGGCGCTTTTACTGTCTTTGGGGTCCCCCAGGCACGCCAGTAGGCGTCTTGAACATGGGGATCCCTGACGCTTTGAGGCCCCCGAGGTTTACTCTCGAGTGGGTGGCCTGCGACTGCGCCCTCGGCACATCGCGAGTTGACTGCTCCTCCTCCTCCTCCTCCTTCTCCTCCTCCTCCTCATCATCATCACCACCACCACCACCACCACCAACACCATCATCATCATCATCATCATCATCATCATCATCATCATCATCATCATCATCATCATCATCATCATCATCATCATCATCATCATCATCATCATCATCATCATCATCATCATCATCATCATCATCATCATCATCATCATCATCATCAGCAGCAGCAGCAGCATCATCATCATCATCATCATCATCGTCATCATCATCATCAGCAGCAGCAGCATCAGCATCAGCATCAGCATCAGCATCAGCATCAGCATCAGCATCAGCATCAGCATCAGCAGCATCACCATCATCACCATCACCATCACCATCACCATCATCATCATCATCATCATCATCATCAGCATCATCATCATCATCATCATCATCATCATCATCATCATCATCATCATCATTATCATCTTCAACAACAACAACAACAGAAACATCAGCATCACCATGATCATTTTATACAGTTGCATCGTGCCCATCATCGTTGTCATCATTAGCATCATCAACATCAGCGACAGCAGCAGGCAGCGGCAAAATAATTGGCATCCTCAAATTCATCCTCATCATCATCAGCATCATCCTAATCAGCATGATAACAGCATCATCGTCATCGTCGTCGTCATCGCCATCGTCAGCAGCAGCGTCGACGTCATCACAGTCATCATCACCATCATCATCAGCAGCAGCATCACAGTATCAGCATCATCATCATAATCGTCGTCATCGTCATCGTCATGGTTATCATCTTCGTCGTCATCATCATCAGCAATATCATCATCATCATCACCATCATCATCATCATCATCGTCATCATCACCGTCACCATCAGCATCATCTTTATCACCACCACAATCACCATCACCATGTTCATCATTGTCATCATCATCGTCGCCATCATCACCATCATCGTGATCATCTTGCGTAGTCATTTAGGCTCGAGCTGGGCGGTCGCGCGTCTCGCTTCCTCTCCCATCACCTCATATAGCCACGGTGGGTCGGTCTCTGGCGAGCGGTTGGCCGAAGCCAGGACTGGCGAGACCGCCGCGCGGCGGGGGGCCAGCGGTGAGCCGTGAGGTCCGGGGGGAGCACCTGGTGCACAAGCAGGGCGAGCGCCGCCCACGCTGGCGCGGTGTCTCGCCGCGCCTGTGCTGACCGACGCGCCTGTGCAGGTGCTGCAGGCGAGACCTTTGAACACCAGGGCGCGCCGCAGCAACGGGCGCCATGCACGGCGCTCGCCGCGCGCGGGAACGCGCAGCACGGGCCAAGGGCTGCCCGGCCTGCGCCCAAATGGCGCACCGAGGCAGCGCGGCGAGCCAGGGCGGGCCCTGCGGGCGACGGCCGCCGCAGCGGATGTCGCCGCGCGGCTCAGACGCCGAGGTGGCCGCGGCGGTCATCACGCCGGTGCCGAGGGACGCTTGCGGCGCTGCGGCGGCCTGCGCCGAGGCGGAGCGGCATGCCACGAAAGCCGTGGCCATCCTCGTCCGCGCGCTCTTCGGCGAGATGTTCCCCGCGCTCATGCGCTGCGAGCGGCTGCGGCACGATTGGCGTGTTGGCCGCCGTCCGAGCAGCGAGGCTGAGCCGATGCGCCGCCCCGCGGAGAAGGGTGGCACGCCCTGGGCTGGGGCTGTGCCGCAGCTCGCGCAGGCTGGCTGCGAGCGTGACGGGCGAGTCGGCGACCGTGCGAGGGGGCGGCAGGTGTGGCAGGCCAACTGGCGGCCGCTCAGCGCCCGAGGATACGTCAGCGGTGAATCCGGTGGCCGTTGAGCGAATGGCTACAGGTGCGAGGCCAATTTCTGTACACCACCACCGCCCGCAACAGTAGATTACCGCAAAAAGGGTTAGGGGCAGGGTCATGCCAGACGACGCTGCGACGCCACGGCGAAAAGGAGCGCGGCGCAGCTCGCAGGCTCCGCGGCATGGGGAGTTCCTGGAATCCTGGAACAGAAACAGCACTTCTTGGTGGTGGTGTCTAAAAGTCGCCCCTCTTGGCAACCAAAATGTTACACACCACCACCGCGCGTATTTTCATGGATCCTGTTTCGGTCCTTAAGAGAGAAGCCCGTTTGCCGTTGGCGGCGGGAGGTGGGCAACGGGCTTCTCGCCAGAGCAAAACTGCACCAAATCGTATCGTAGATGATTATCAATCTTGGTGGTGGTAGTCATATACTGTGTTCGGATACAGGGGCGGCTGGCGCACCTGCTGTCGCACAGCGCCCGAAGGAGCGTCAGCGGGGAACCGTCGGCGGTGAGCGAACGGGCGGCGGACGTGGGCAGGCCAAGTGTCCGTCGCACAGAGCCTGGGCACGCAGAGCGCCTCGCGAAGCACGTCGATTATAGAGAAACCGACCAGGAACTGCACTGGCACACTCGAGTGCCGATGTCTGGCGAACCCGTGCACATTCCCTAGTTGCCTTGTCTGGGTGGGCTTAGTCGTCGTCGTCGTAATGCCCGAGCCTTCTTCGAAGCCCCCTGTCTTCTTGGAAGGCCGCACCCTCCTCGCGCCGCCCCCTCTTGTGCATCCCGCCGGCCCTGCGTCCCGCCCTCCCCCTCCTCTGCTCCCCTCGGATACAGGCTACACGCAAGAGCGACCCTGGGCACGAGTGACCTTTGGTGCGCGGCGGAGGAGGAGGAGGAGGAGGAGGAGGAGGAGGAGGAGGAGGAGGAGGAGGAGGAGGAGGAGGGGGAGGGGGAGGAGGAGGAGGGGGAGGGAGAGGAGGAGGAGGAGGAGGAGGAGGAGGAGGAGGAGGAGGAGAAGGAGGCTACCCTGCTTGGATTTGGCCACCTTGCCTGGATTTGGCCACCTGGGCGCAAGGTGGCCAAACCCAAGCGCCCAAGCAGCCGCTATCGCATCGTGCTCCACGATCGGGGGGACCCCGAGGAGCCCGCACCAAAAGTCACACCGGCGAAAGGTCACTCTTGCGTGTGGTCGATCCCGTCCCTGGCCCGCCTGTCTCGAGGATCAGGCCCGCACCCTGCCTGCTCAGCAGGTCGCCTCCGGCCAGGCCCGCGTAGAACGCCTCGCCGGGAGGAGAAAAAACTGCACATACATACAAACTTTCGGCGGTCCGCGCGGATTTCTTGGATCTGCGATGGACCCCCCTCCCTGGCGCGCGGAGCGCGCGAGGGGCGGCGCCGGAGCCGCCGCCAGGGGGGCCCAACGCCGATCCAAGAAATCCGCGCGGAGCGCCGAATGTTTATGGTTATGTAGTTTTTTCTTTTTCGGGCCTCGTTGGGTATCTCGAACTGGTTCCCAGGCTTCGAGACCTGCTGGGCTGGGGAGGAGAAAGAGATCGGACGGCTGCTCAGCGTGTCGCCGCGGTGGCCCGGGCGACACGCTGTACCCTGCGAGCCGACAGCGTGTCGCCCCGCTCCGCGGGGCGGGAGGTGTGGAAAAGCTCGGGACGTTGACGCCTGTGGACGGGGACGCGGACAGCGTGCCGCGCCGAGGCGGGATGGGCCAGAATCGGCGGAGCCACACGCTGAGCCAAAGTCCCCGACTGTATACACACCAACTCTGGCCATGTCAGTCTTGAACCTGGCCATGATGGGACGGTGTCGGCGTAGAGCTGCCGTCCTCCGACATCCGAGGGGCAAACAGCAAGGGAGACGAGGAGAGGCAAAGACGCGGGCAAGACGGGAGAGAAACGGAGCGGGCAGGAGAGGGGGAACGGCCGGGTATCGTGCGGCTCGCCCTTCTTCACAGCTGACTCGCACGTGCCTCACGTTGGAGCCGCATTTGATTCACGAGTGCTTCACGGACGCAGGGCCCCCCCCACACCCCTCCCTACGTACGTACACACATTTGACTCACTGATTCGTGCAGTCGTATCCTGAGCGAGTTGCAAGCCAAGTGTGCATCCTGCGGTTGAGAGCGGCAATGAATCGTGGCTCTTCAACAATCGAATGCCGACCCGCCAGTGGGAAGACCAACGTCACACTCGTAAACCACATTCATGGATTTGGCGTGCCGAGGTCGCACCGACCAACCCGTGATCGAAAGATATTCAAGAACGCCCACGGACCAGGCTGCAACTGAAGCGGCTCCTGCAGCTAGTGAACAATGTGCCGACCGAAGGTGGCACCTACATGCTGTCAGTGTGGGCAGGTAAGGCGGTTCAATACTATTCCATTGGGCCTCGCTGGTCGCCTCTCAAGCGGCCAGCCAGGGGGGCGTGGTCATCCACGATGCTCATGCGATGAAGGCATGGTGCATGCGATGACTGCTAGCCCCACCGGGACCTCCACGGGGATCACCTCCACGCCGTGACGCACAGCCGTTGCAATCTCGATCAAGCACCTTGGACAGGCGCAAGCGACCCATATGCAAATCGGACGGACTGCAGAGATCAAAAAAGAAGCTGCCCAATACCACTTCCACTGTTTTCATACCTGCTTCGATTCTGGATCTGACTATACCATACCGCATTCGCGTTAGTCTGCATGTTCTCCATTGGGTGAGGGTGCTGCTGTTCAACACTAATCGTATTGCAGAAGCTGGATCCGAAACGACGTTGATAGCCAAGCTGAAGCTAGAGCTCATGCCCCAGCTGAGGCTAAATCTGACTGGACAACTGCGGCCTGAGAAGGAGCTACGTCTAGAGATGTAAAGATGTGTGTAAAAGTTAGTCCTGAGACAAGTAATGAAGTTCAGGCTACGGCGAAGGCTATGACGATCAAATGATATGAGCACAAAATAAGCAAAGGCAAAGAAGGCTCGAAGACTGAACGTATCAAACTTGCCCAAATAATGACAGTTACAATGGGAGTGGGGGAACTTGCTTTTGCCAGTCAGCAGGCCAATGTGTGGAAGCGTGAATGGGAATCCCACGTGCATATAAAGACGCAAGGTGCCCTACGCAAAGGTGTGGTTCGCAAGCGTTGCTTCCTTTCCCACTCAGCTTCCCTCCCCCCTCCCTCTCCTCACCTTTCTCAAGCGCCAGAAGCAAAATGCGAGCGAAAAACAAGGGTGGGCAAAACGCGAGTAACAGACACACAACAACAACAACAACAACAACAACAACAACAACAACAACAACAACCATTTTAAGGCTGTACGCTCTTACTTGCCCGCGAGTCATTCAACACGTATACCCTACACCCTCGATACCCGCCCTCTTCGTCTTCGATCACACCCCTTTCGGGGGGATTATTTCTCTTTGCTGGGGCCGGCGGGCTTAGACGTACGGGCAACAACAACAACAACAACAGCAGCAGCAACAACAATAAGTGTAAGACTGTTCGCTCCTACTGGCACGCGTGTCTTGCATTCTTTATACCCCAACCCTGGATACCCGCCCATTTCGTCTTCGATCGCACCCCCTCTCGGGTGACATATTTTCCTTGTCGGCCACTGACTGCAGTGCGAGGAACTCTCGAGCGAGAGAGCCGTTCCTGAGTTCGGGGGCCTCTCTGGCCAGGGTCTCTCGGACTACACAGTATATCGTACAGGAACCTTTGTCGCCGTGTTTGGGCCTCCACCAACTTGCCTGAATCACAAGAAAACGACGAACGAGAGCGACACTCTTGAATTCGGGGGTGTCTCTGGCAAGGGCCTCTGCGAATACATATTGAGGAAATATCGGGCGGGAGCCGTAGGCGCATTTGGACCTCCACCAATCTGACTGAATCATGCGAAAGTCTCGAGCGAGAGCGCCGCTCCTGAGTTCGAGAGCCTTTTCTGGCCAAGGGTTCCTGGTGAAAATCGCAAGGAAATATCGAGCGCGAGCTCTTGTCGTCGTGGCTGGACCCCCGCCAACTTGACTGAATTGCGAGGAACTCTCTCTCTCTCTCTCTAGAAAGAGAGAGAGAGAGAGAGAGAGAGAGAAAGAGAGAGAGAGAGAGAAAGAGAGAGAGAGAGAGAAAGAGAGCGCCGTTCCTGAGTTCGGGGGCCCTCTCTGGCCAGGGTGTTTCGGGGTAAATTGCGAGGAGATATCGAGCGGGAGCCGTCGTCGTCGTAGCTGGGCCTCCAAGAGCGAAGTTTTACTCAAGCCAACGCTCGAGCGGGAACCTCGTTTTCAAAGAACCTGTTGCCAACGTCGAAGCGGGAGTTCCTGGAACCGTTCCTGGATATCAACAGTAATCATTAACAACAACAACCAGAACAACAGCAGCAACAACACCAACAGCAATCAGTTTACCCTCGTGCGCGGTGTTTCCACACGAAGCATGCAACCATCATGATAACCATCCCCATCATAAGGGACTTGTGTTCTATAGCGGGGTCCATTATTCCCATTCCCGGATATCCCGCCAAATGAGGTATTGCAAACACCTCCTCCGAGGAATTTCAACATATCCCACCTCGAAAACGCATGCCCGCGCCTTGCTGCGCCGATGCGAGACCGCCACTGGAGCCCCAGCCAAAGGTAAAGCACAAGGAAGTGACAAGCGACAGGATTACCTTGGTGGGGATGGGGGCTGTCGGCGGCGAGGCAAGGACCTGGCCCTGAATAAACAAGGAGGAGGTCTCGAGCAGGGCCACTGTTGTTGCTGGGAGCGGCGCCGGTGCTGAAGAGAGTAGGGCGCTGGTCCAGCGGAAAACAAAACCAAGTCTCGAGCGGGAGCGCTGGTTTCGTTGGGGCGGCGGTTGCCGGCGGCGAGGAAGAACACCGCCATGAGCAAGAAGGGAGGATGTCTCGAGTGGGAGCTGTGGCCTTGTCGGGACGGGGGCTGTCGGCGGCGAGGAACAGCACCGTCCTGAGGAAAAAGAGAGGACGCTTCGAGCGGGAGCGTTGTTCTTGCTGGGAGCGGCGCCACTTGAAAAGAGAGTGGGGCGCCAGTCCACCGTAAAACGGGAGGCAGTCTCGGGCGCGAGCGCTGGGTTTGTCGGGACGAGGGCTGTCGGCGGCGACGAAGCACCGCCTGGAGTTAAAAAGGGGGGATGTCTCGAGCGGGAAGGTCGTCGTTGCTGGGGGCGGCGCCGATGACAGAAAAACTAGCGCGCTTATCCAAGGTAAAGCGGAAGGAAGTCTCGAGCGGTAGCGCTGGTTTTGTTGCGACGGCGGCTTTCAACGGCGAACACGAACACCAGCCTTGAGTACACAAAGGAGGACGTCTAGAGCAGGAGCCGTGGTTTTGTCGGGACGGGGGCTGTCGGCGGCGAGGAAGAGCATCGCCCTGAGGACAAAGGGGGGAAACCTCGAGTGGGAGCGTCTTTGCTGGGAGCGGCGCCGATGCAAAAGAGAATCGGGCGCCAATCCAGCGCAAAACGGGAGGAAGTCTCGGGCGGGAGCGCTGTCGTTGCTGGGGGCGGCGCCGATGAGAAAAAGAAAAGCACGCCACCCCAAGGTAAAACGGGAGGAAATCTCGAGCAGAAACGCTGGTTTAGTTGGAGCGGCGGCTTCCAGCGGCGAGCAGGAACACCGGCCCTGAATAAAAAAGAGGAAATATCGAGCGGGAGCGTTGCTGTTGTTGGGGCGCCGGTTTTGGCGCCCCCCGACACCGCTCGAGCGCGAGCCTCATTTTCAATGAAAACGCAGCCGGCACCGAAGCGAAAGCGCCAGGGCGCCCGGGGGGGGTAACAATAATAATTTTCCCACGATTGGCACTCAACAACAACAACAACAACAACAACAACAACAACAACAACAACAACAAAAATAAGTTCACCATCATGCGCAATCCTTCCACATGTCACATGTTTATTTCTGGAAAACGCATCCCATCATGTGGGATTGCCTGGCATGCAGGGGCCGATATTCCCCCGCCCAGATCTGCCGCCCAAGAAAGTATTACCACCACCTCTTCCGAGGAACTTCGACATCCACAGCTCGGACGGCGCATTGCCATCGCGATCGCCTCGCGCACGCCCCGCATCTCGGAGGAGGAAAAAGAGGACGAGGAGGGGGGAGACGAGGGAGAGGAAGAGGGAGAGGAGGAAGACGAGGATGGAGGAGGGGTTGGGGGGAGGAAGGAGTAGCTGTTTTAGCAGTACATCCGAGGACGAGGTGGTTCTTACTCCTCGTTCGAACTGTTCCGCCACCATCCTGCGGCCTCGGCGCGTGGCCCTGAACGTTCACGCCCCCAGGCGCTGCCGCCCCCATGCTCGCATCCCCCACCTGCCCCTTCCACGCCCTCTCAAGGAATCTCCGAAGTCAACCCTTCCACCCTCGACCCTTGGAGCCCCTGGAAATCATCCGTCCTCCTTCTTCTCTCCTCCTCCCCCACATTATCTACGCTCCCTAAAAATGATGCCCCTTGGACTCTTGGATGCCCCCCAGAGGCGATGCCGAAACGAGGGCCCCGGCCTCCATTAAAGGGTGGGGAAGTATCAAACAGGAGCGACGAGGGAGGACGACGGAAAGGTCAGGGGGGAGGGAGGGGGGAGGGGGGGGGAGACAAGGGGGAGGAAAAGGGAAAGGAGGAGGGAGGAGGAGGGAGGAAAAGGGAGGAAAAAGGGACGGTAGAGGGTGGAGTGAGGAGGGAAAAGAAGAGGGGATGGAGGGAGGAAGAAGGAGGAAGAGGGAGGGGGGAGGAAGGAGGAGGAGGAGGAGGAGGAAGAAGAAGAGGAGGTGGAGGAGGAGGAGGAGGAAGAGGAGGAGGAGGAGGAAGAGGAGGAGGAGGAGAGGGAGGAAAAGGAGGAGGAGGAGGAAGAGGAGGAAGAGGAGGAGGAGGTGAAGGGGGGACGGAGGGGGAGGGAGGAAAGAGGGAGGAGGGAGGAGGGAGAAGAGGAGGGGGTGGAGGAAGGAAAAAGGGAGGAAGAGGAGGGAGGCGGGAGGAGGATGGAGGACGAGGAGGAGGAGGAGGAGGAGGAGGAGGAGGAGGAGGAGAAAAGGGCGCCAGTCCAGCGCAAAACGAAAGGAAGTCTCGAGCGGGAGCGCTGGTTTTGTCGGGACGGGGGCTGCCGGCGGCGAGCAAGAGCACCGCCTTGAATAAAAAAGGGAAGAAATCTCGAGCGGGAGCGTTGTTGTTGCTGGGGGGCGGCGCCGATGACAGAAAGAGTAGCGCGCCTGTCCAAGGTAAAACGGTAGGCAGTCTCGAGCGGGAGCGCTGGTTTTGTTGAAAGGGCTGCTTTCGGCGGCGAGCAAGAGCGCCAGCACCGATTAAAAAGGAGAAAGTCTCGAACGGGAGCAATTTTGGCGGCACCCCAACCCGCTTGAGAGTGATCCTCATTTCCAATGAAAACGCAGCCAGCGCCGAGGCGAGAGCGCCAGGGCGCCAGGGCGCCTGTAAAGGGCCCAGCAGTAATAATTGTTTACCCACTAACACTCAACAGCAGCAACAACAACAGCAACAACAACAACAATTACTAGCACGTGGGGACACACCGTTCTCACCAGTGCCAGGGTTTTCATAGGA